ATAAACATAAATAATAAAAAATTGTGAATTTCAATCTACTATTAATATAAAATTACCATATATGCAAGTTATTATTCATATTATTCAAATTTTAAAATATTTTTCAAATCCGACCAGCCATTTAAACGTGATTTGGTAACAAATATCTAACCATTAAACATCTTAATACATTTTTATTTTTCTAGTTTGAACTATAATATATATAATAATATTTATATATTACAATACATATAATAATACCAGTTGATGGTTGATTTTGTAATAAAACTACACTTGACTGGTTCCTGGTCTCTTTTATAACACACACACATATTAATTTTGTTTCATATATATAATACTAGTTTTTTTCTGCAGCACAAAAGTTTAAAATAATAGTAGATACTTTGTTTATCAAAAATTAAATGTAACAATATATTTAAAAATTTTCAGATCAGTTTTTTAATAACGATGAATTTATTATGCTTTATAATTACTAAGAAATTATATTTTTAACAATACAATACGCAATAAAGTTATACATATTTGTGTTCCCACGCATATTAAATGGCTTTTTTAGCATTAAGTCTGTAAGATCGAGAACTGATTACTAGATACTGCAAACTAATTTTTATTTTTTAATCTATACATTTAACTCCCATGTTTGTTCTATATTTTTTATAACCATAATTAATAATGTTTTCATAATAATAGTAGCTTCATTGTTTTTATTCGCCCTGCAAAAACTGCTTGTTGTGAAACAAATGTAATTGTTAGCACGCGATTCCGGTTTTAAATTCAAATATTTACAATTGGATCTGTCTACAAAACATGTCGTCGTTCATCCGTGTTTGTATGTATTCACGGTTGATGTTGCTTTTTTGCAGAGCAAAATGTATCAGTTTCTATAGGTTTTTGACATTACACTCTGTATATCGATATTGTTCTAGATAATTAAATTGTGTTCAATAAAACAGACTTAAATTTTAACTAAATCAGTTATTTTAATCGAAAACTCTAAACTACTATAAAATATAAACTATTCAAGTAATTTTGATAATATTTCTATAAAATCAATCTGTAAGTATATCCTTTTAGGTAAAAAAATAATTTTTCTAATCGGTGTACTACTGACAGAGTTATGAGGTAACAAACATAAAAAAATACAACGGAGTTGAGAACCTCTTTCTTTTTGACGTCGGTTGAAAATATGCTTAAACATACTTAACACATAAGTCGTATTCTAACAGATGTATATAAATAATATACACAAATGGTCACGACATGCAAATACACTATCAAAATATACAATCTTATGCTCTAATATACTTTACTTACGCGGGTAACTACAAGATGAGAAAATAGTACGAGTATAATATATAAATTATGTACAGTAAAGATTTTACAATACAATACAATACACGAGAAAATAGTTTTCGGTATCAATGAACATTTTGTGCCGCAAAAAATAGTGTTTTCAATCGTGGTAAAAGTAATATGGGACCTACACTGACGTAAACCGTGTCAATTGATAGAACATAATCGGTTTAATGCTACACTGCTAAAAAAAATAATGAGAAACTTTACAATCAGCTTTTTAAGAAATGTTTTTATTCACTTGAAGATTATTTTAACGTAAAATTTTTAGGACAAGTTTTTTTAACATTAAATACTTCTAACGTAATCACCTGTATTGAAGCAAGTAAAGTTGTCATTTATTCAGTAAGTAGTTGTAGAATATCTATAATAATCTAAGAACGTAAATATATAAGCTAGTGTTTTGTCTGCTACTTCGCATGCGTGAATTTCAGAAGTAGAAAAATCACTTCAAGACGGCGTGTCATGATAATATACATACTTGTACACAAGATTTTGAATTAGATCGTTAGGAATACAAATGTAAAATCCGCATCCAAAGTGCAGTAGTTTTTGCATGTTGACAAAACAAATATGCAGATAAACTAAATTTTCTAACATTATTGTTTTGGCATCTACTGGTTTTACTAAGACACATTAATTAACTTTTTTTACTTAATTCCCATGTAAAGACATCGTCTAGTTACAGTTTTATTATATTAGTCAGAAGTAAATTTACTAAAGTAAAGCATTCTTATGAGTGTGAGTTATACAAAGGTTTACTTTACGTCATGTTTACATTTACGTTTATGTCGATGAATTTATATGAAAATCTGAGTTTCAAAAACTATCCAGAGCGCAACTAAATTGTACAGAAATTATGTATGTCAGTAAAATATTTATTGACGTGTGCAACTTACAACATAATATCAGCTTGAAATTTTAAAAGACTTGCCTCGTTGGTAAATAATAGAATAAATTCAACTCATGTTTTCTAAATAATATCATTGTTGTCTATATATGTATGTACTTAATACGACGATAGATTTTGGAATTTATTAATTAAAATAATATAACATTAATACATACCTGATATAAGTGGGCTAGGGATGGGCAGCAGGGTACCTCTTAAAACATCTGGAAAGGCTAACTGCGATTGGGAATTCGCCTGCGAAACGTGGCAACTACTTGCAAAACCCTCCAAGGGTTTATGTTCAGCAGTGGGCAGTTAAAGGCTGATATGATACCTGATGTTAGTAGGTGCCCCTAAAAAATAGTTACATAATTTTTTTCAAATCACATAAAAATCTTAATAGCAAAAGTTAAATCGTATGATCTTATATATAAATGTAAACATAATTGTATGGGCCATATCATGGTAGAATAATTCGATAGATGTACTGTATTTTTTTATACTACTATGGTGGCAAACAAGCACACAACCCGTCTGATGATAAACGGGGTTACCCCAGTCTATCTAGCCTGTAATACTAGGATGTCACGCATGTGTTGTTGTCTTTTAAAAAACCTTAATATGCCCTATTTGAACAACCATTTGCGGTGGTCTTTAGGGAATACCCCAGCAGAAAAATCATACCACAACTTGAGAGTTCACGGGAGAAAACTCGTCTAAGACTACACTGTGCGTGACCATTCTGATTTTAGGGTGTGAGGATGGATTCCTTGCCGATGTATGATTTGGTTTTTCCATGAAGTCTATATAATAACGTATCCGCTTTTATACTGAGGTTACTGTCTGCTATATTTTTCCCTTGAAAACTTACGTATATTGAGGCTAAAATTCAACAAAAGCGTTCCGCAGTCAAATGGATTTGTCACCATCTGTATTAATATGTCACACATCATAACTTTTTCAGTTTCAATTTGATGTTTACAACTTTACAAAGAGACTTTTAAATAAAATAAAATAAAATAAAATCGAATTCAAAAGAACAGAAGGATATTCAATAAGTATTAATTAATTCTATGAAAGACGTAGTGCCTATTTCGAGTGTCGTGAACATTAATGCTGTAAAATTTGCTTCAAATTTCATAGCTGTTTTAAATACAAAACTAAAAATCAGGATGAAATTAGAACATTTAGTTACTTTTACAATGTTATAACGATACAAAACTGTTTGTTCACTAAGTAATAAATGATAGACATATTATTATGAGTTATCAGGTATAAACCTTCACCTGTGAAACCCTAATAACAGTTATCCGACACACACTTGACCAGTTTTTTTATTAGAGTTCGTTGATCCGGGCAGTGTATAAGCGGTCAGTTTTCTGCGAGATTAAAACCTGTATTTTGTGAAGTACCTACCTACGATAGCCGGATTACCTTCGTCCTTTTTCGATACCATCAAAATAAGTCTCTTTAAAAGTGAATGGGTCTTGAAGCTTCCGTTTCCGTAATAACTACCTATTTTTATATTAATGCAACATGTTGATGTTATCAAAATAGTATGGATGATGAATAGCTTATCAACGATGACATAAATATAAACAATGACATAAAAATAACCATCAATTACTGGTATCATAAGTATATTACATTGAAAAGATTTTGTCGAGGACACAAGGTCGATGACCAGTTTTTAGACAGTTGCGTGATAAACTTTTCATATTAAGATATATTTCCTAAAATACTAGGGTGCTCGCATATTAAAAAAATACTTTTAAATCAAGCGTTAAAGTCGTGACCACGTTTATGTAAAGCAACTGCTCTACTATTGCGCTATATAGTTCCTCGAATTCGTGATTATTCTAACGAGAATAAAAGTCTTATTTCTTAGAAATTATTAATAAAAAACATGAGTAAATCGACTATAGAATATTTGCGGACGTCAAATTTACTATCGATTTATTAATGCCTTCATAATATTCGATTAATAGAACTGTAAATAGCATACTCAGTTTAATCGGTAAATGTTACCATATGCAAGTAAATATACCCGTTCTTGCCATTAACAGTCCACGTACGCGCAATTAGCCTTGGATTTGAAGTATGTGAATGGTTTTTCAGATGTACAATCTATTCTCATTCGAATATGTATTTACCCATGGTGTAAATATACAGTCTCTTTGTTATAAATGATGAATTGTCATGTCGTGCTACCCTGGTTCCTATTGTTTCCATAATATAGAGATTCAATGATGTTTTACACTATCTAGCATAAGATTAGAAAACAACACTCTGCTATTATATACACATAGTAATAGTAAACATATAAAGAAGTACGCGAAAAGTGGTAGAGAAAGATCCTCCAGGAAGGAAATACCTGTTCAAGAAGTGATTATAAATTAATTTGGAATTCCAAATATGAACTGAGTAATTTATAGTAATTTTATGAACATACATTAAGATGAATGGATTCTTCTGTTATCATTTATTTACTGGCTGGTACTGTTGCTTGTAGGTAATCGACTATATGAGTGCAGCTCAGTAAGTCTGAGTAGCCGGTCCACCCTGACATTCGCTACACTTGACGTCGGACGGTTACGTTACGTCGTTTACGACCGAAGACTGTCCGAAACGACTCATTGCATATTTGTAATGCTGTGCGTTCGCACATTCATCTCATCGGATGAGTGATACTGTTACTTTTTAAATCTATGACATATTTAAGTGATAACAATTGTGTTGTTTATTATTGTTACAGTGGAAATGGAGGCGCTAAATAGGCTAGTGGCGGGATATCACGATTTAATGGACAACAAAAGTGATCAAAGGGTCAAAGATTGGTTCCTGATGTCTTCTCCGTTTCCTACGTTGGCAATATGTCTCACATATGTCTTCATAGTTAAAGTAAGTATGGATCTACTGCGTGTCAATTTAATTTAATTAGACTGTCAATGCGAATATATATATTTAACTATTAAGGTAATCACTTACGCGTTCTAACTACTATATTTTGCATCGGAAATTGCCTATAACTAAAGTAATATAAACACACTACGTCAGACGGAATAATTATATAATGAATAAGTTCCTGTTGAATTACAGGTATAAATAAATTATATAAACAGGGGTTTTATCATAATTTTGAATATTAAATTATAACTTATTTTTTTTTAGGTATTGGGACCAAAACTCATGGAAAACAGAAAGCCTTTCGAGCTGAAAAATGTCCTTATATGGTACAATTTATTTCAAGTCATATTCAGTTGTTGGCTTTTTAATGAGGCAAGTAATTCTATATTTTCTTTATAGTATTTAAATAATATTTGTAATTCTAAATTATTTATAATTTTCTAAACAAAAGATGGCTTTATCATAATAGTTTTTTTTTATAAATACGTCTATATATTAGAGACCATAGTATACAGCAAATTCCATCTAATTAAATGAGCCGGTTTGCCATCATTGAGCCATCGACATCTAAAGATGTAATCGGATCTACTCATGCATTGGTGAAATGTTTGAGTAATATGGAGTCAACCGGAGTGATAACTAAGAAATTATATAATATACAAATTTTGTGTACTTTAAAGGGATTGTATATCTCTGGATTTGTATTGTTATAAATATTAAATTCAATATAAATTATTATATTAATATATATAATAAACAATTTTGCAGTGCATTTGCTGTGCATTACATATATTGAATTACAAGAACAGAGAAGCAATTAATTAGATGTAACAGTAAAAAGTCATCATTAATACTATGTTATTTTTACCCACAGAGCATAGCTAGCGGGTGGTTCACCACATATAGTTTTCGGTGTCAGCCTGTTGACTATTCAAGGTCTCCACTAGTGATGAGGGTTAGTATTTTTTTCTTATATTTCTTAATTTATTATTTTTCTATAATGATAATTTTAAACTTTTGAGCTTTTTTGCACATGTTTAAATTTATGTAGTTCCGAAATAAATGTATATATAATATATCTTTAGCAGTAACAGCAGCTTTATTCACGTAAATAAGAGTAAAAAGTGTTCTATGAATAAAATTCAAGATTTGGTCCATATTTGTACTACATATTATTCACATTATTTATTTAGGCGTGATTAAAGATATCTAAAAATATATGACATTTTTATTCCAATTCACGCGAACATCTGTAGGTTGCAGCTCGAAATATTATTATAGTAAGTTTATCATGCAGATATAATAAATTACAAGTTAGGAAGAAGAGACAAAACAATCCACGTATTGTAAGCACGTACGCGCTAATGATTATTATGTGTGACCATGAATAATGATTATATAAAAAATATATAAAATGAAATATAACTTTTTTATACTACGATATTTTAAAAATAGATAAAAAAATACAATTTTAAATACATAACACTAAGTTTGGGAATTCTAAATAATGTTGAAAATTTTAACTAAACATCTCTATCCGATAAGTTTCGAATCTACACACCACTTATGTACTGGTATATCTAGGTAATAAAGAAATTCCCTAATAAAGAAAGAATAGGTACTCCTAGATTGAGAAGTTTGGCAAATTTCAATTACTTTTACTTACAAAAGAAAACGTTTCTAAAATCACTGTAGTACAGAATACCTCCGCATCCTTTAAAGGGACGATTCTACCAGTTGACTTGATTATTTTCCCTAAAGAAACAAGCCATATCCAGGTCAAGCTATTGAGAGATTCAAGTTTTCAACCTGCAATATAACTATTTAAAATATTTTAACTATTTACATAAAATCATTGTTAATCTATGTCATTAACATGTGATTTGAATTAATTTAAAAGAATTACATAATACTTTGAAAACAAATGAGTAGGTACCGTTGATTAATATGCCTAATAAATGATCCGGATTTACAAGTAGATATATTGGATTTTTATATTGTTATTTAATAATCTATAATTTATTATGTAAAAATTTTTTTAAAAAGGTACTACTGGTAATGGTACTTACTACTTATCTATTTTAACGCCAGGTTCTTAACGGGATAGACAGAAATATTGTTGATAAATGATTCAATACACATCGTGTACAGTTAAGACCCAACAGTTAAAATAAAACTATGGTATTACGACTTACAAATTTAATTAAATAATATAGTAGTAAAAAAATTGCACAGCTAGCAGGATCAGACACCTCTATCGCATAAAAAATAGGGCCGCGGGGTAGATACTATTAACACTTTTACAGCACAATACTTCCCTGTGCTCCGGGCTCGTGTTGGTGGTTGCCCGCGTTGATGCAAAGGTAGTCAAGTGTAGAACGGCATATGATATCTTCTTCTTATCTGTATAATGAGTATATCCAACAGCCCGAAGCCAAGTACTACGGTACACATTGCTGCCCTCTCCTAGATGTTATTTCCATACGTGTATGTATATATCCACTGTTTACGAGTACGTTGTTGCTCTCTCAATCGGGAAAGGATTTCACTTAGTACAAGGCTATAAATATTTTTATTATAATATAGCTATCATAAAAAAGTAACTGTATTTTTAAATTTCCGTATTTAAAAAAAGGGGAAATAAAAATATAAAATAATAAATTTCTTTCATGGTGTTAGTGCGCGCGACCTCTCAATGATCTTGCTAGTATGTTAATAATGACTCCTTCGGCAGAAATGTTAATCTAACCTACCCTGCATATTCCGACATTTTCTGTTTTTATTAATAACGGTAGAGGGTTCCATTCCCAAAGAGGGATGACGTTAGGCAGGCGGTAGGTCGTAAAACTATAAGCCAAATATTTTAGTAATATGAATAAAATCATATTACGCCGACCCCAAATAATAATTGGGATGAGGGTAGGGAGATGATGATGATTAATAACGGTAGTAGGTCCGCTTTTTACCTGACGCTAATGACTGTGTCTTTAGACTAAGCCATTTATAATAGATTAAAAATATTTTTATATTTTTGTAGATAAAGATATTGTTGTACATATAATTGTCTTATTAGTTTATTTTTTAAATATACGAGGTTAAAATTATTTAAAATTAAATAAATATGTAACATTTCCTTACAATCGGAATTAAACCAATCAATCGATATAGTAAATTATACATTATTTACTTAATTTATTTTAAAGTTTAGCAACATACAATATCATATTTAGTATCACGATGCAATCGATATATAATCGTATTTCAAGATGTTATTCGGTAAAACTGCGTCTTTATTCGTAAAATAATTAAAATGGGATTAACGCAAGATTATTCTTATTTATTGCAGAAATAATATAAAAATCTGTTTACAATCCACGAAATATGGGGGGAAAGGGATTGTTAGTAATGGAGACTGAGAATCCCATTGTTTTGTTTGTTTTCAAAAGTTCTTTATTTATCATAAGTGTTTACAAATATAATAAATTCCAGTGTACGTAAGCCTAGAATTTACAATCAGCCATAAATCGTTTGGCGAGTAATATACACTCCTTCAAACATTTAAAATAGAGATACAAGTACCTATAAATCTACACAACATAAAAAACTTACTAGCAATTAAAAGCTGAGAATCCCATTGCTAGCAATATACTCAACCAGGTCGACCTCAACGCGGTTCTCCCTGAAAACTATCATGGTTATTTCCTGATGAATTCATCATGATGGGCTAACTGACCTGTTTTCATTCTCATCTATCAACCTTCATTGGTGCTCCGCCAGCGTATCCCGTTAGCGCAGGCGGGGTTGGCATTCCATTTTCACCCATGAAAAAAAAATTCACGAAATATCGTGTAACATAAATATAACAAAATGTATAGAATTTTTGGCTTATTTAAATATTAGGCTTTTTCATTTTATATTCTGTGTACACGAGATTGTTCCATTTATTATAGCAGAAGAATGACGTCTAACCGGTAAAGCTACTCGTATTAGTACATACAGGTTCCCGTAGTACTTAGATTGTATCTAATAATAGGGTTGTAAACTTCAAAAAGGAACGGATTTTTAGTTATTTTTCAAAACAATATTGTACACACTGTTGTAGGACAAGGAAAATTCTTTACAAAAATTTTTAGTAACCCGCCTGATCAGTAATGGTACCAAATATGCCTTTATACGACGTAAGACCTAGGAGTGGAATGCATTGTTATTTTATAGTATGATATGACTATTTAACTACAATATTTGATTTAATCACTTGTTACTATTTTGTTTCGTTTTATACGAATAAAAAACGATTTTTTTTCTGAATTATTAACACATTTAAAAATTACAGCACGATTCGTATTGAGTTTTCTCCCAGTCATATCACTGAAGGGAAGGAATATTGACATAAGCGCCATCTACCGATGTAAATGTATTTCTTGATCCATTAATAATTTAGAATTTCCCAATAACCTTTATTTTTATTTCAAATTTTAAATATTTGCAGAATAATTTCGTTACATTCTTTATAAATTTGCATGGAAAGTATTTAATTATTTACTTTTCTGTAACAAGAAAATTGTTCGTATCTATTAAAATTCTTAATTTGTTCTTATTAATACAACAAATTACATAGTGCAATTGACACAACCCTAGTGCATAATTAATATAAATATCGGTGCTAATGTAGGTATATACGCCATATATTGCCAAGTCATGGACTTATAGGCGTTCGCCTTCAATAGTCAGTATCTACATACTAATACTAATTTCTAATCGGTCTACCTATACATATGAGTACGTTTGCGATGGAAACATAAGAGTATCTATAGACGATTATTTCGTCAATTAATGAAATATTTATAAACGGTTGTCGCAACTAGGTTGCCACGAATCAAATGATCGCAATAATTTCGTAAAATTATAAGGTCGCAGGTATGTTTAAAATTTCTATGGTGTGGTGAATAAAATAATGGTGTTAAACTATTTTACTTTGATGAAATTAATAATATAAGCACGTAATAAAAATAATCCCCCTTAAAACCGTAGGTAACACAGCAATATGTACCTATAATACTTTTTAGAACTTTTAGCTCTTAAAAAATATGTAACATCGAAATTACTTTATTTAAGCACCTAATGTCACTCAATAAGTAGTGCGATGATCTATTATATGTCAACATTACGTTCGTTAGTGAAGTATTGCTTTCTTCTTCAATTTTTATGTATCTATTGTTCTAATATGTAATATACTTATGTATATAGTAATAATATTTATTAGTATTACAAATACAATATCCGTATATTGTTTATAAACTTTTTAATATTACTTGAAACTTCATTTGTGCTAGTCTGAAAATAGTTAGTTCGATTTCCGTCAAACGTAATATGTTATAAAGTTATTCGCCTCGTATGGGCAAACAGTGGAGTGACGACATCAAATGCATTGTAGGTAACCAGGGGATGCAAGCGACTCAGGACCATTTCATATGGCCATTATTATAGGGGGTTCAGCAGTAGACAGGTAATGGCTGAGATGATGATGATGATGATAAAGCTTATTGAAGACAACTGTATGCTACAAGTTTGAGAACAATCAAAAAGCTTTAGTAAAAATTATCTGGTATTATTATATTTTTTATTGACGCAAACATAATAAGTTTAATTATGTCTTTATTTATTCACATAAAGTAAAAAAAAAACATCATGTTTTAACCTAAAAAACGAACCTACCATTCAGTTACTGGCATTTGTTATTGCGTACTTAATGAATCTAATAAGATTCATTATAGATACTATTTATGAAAATATTGTTGGAATTCAAACGTTTTAATGCTTTAATTGTATTTTTTTATAGACAGTACGTGGATGTTGGTGGTACTACTTCTCCAAGTTTACAGAGTTCTTCGACACGGTAAGTTGCTATGCTTAATAATTATAAAATTGACGTAAACAGTTTTTTAATTAAATTCACAGATAGGTATATTGTTATTGATTATTATTGGTATGACTAATTTAAACGTTATATAAGAACATTTTTATATTTCCTTTCCACACAGGCTAGTCTAAACAATAGGAAACGGAAAATGTATATTAACCATAAAATAACTTGATTCTAATTTTAAATTTACTGAAATTTTAAAATTAAACTTTATCAGTGAGATCTATGACGAAAATAGCTTTAACGCGACCAGTCGTCCTTCATTGTTGTATGAAATTGTTGTGTGAAGTTTTCGCCTCTTGTCTATGTGCGTTGTATGTCCATTGCCAAGGCGATTACCGGCCACTAGGGCCATGTTTGTTTCCGCAACCGACATGGTCACGTCGTTGGCTCATTTGCATAGCTTTATGTATATCTGGTTCAATATTAGATTATTACCTTTGTTTGTTTCTATTTAGTAATAAAGCAATACGTATAGTTTACACCTATATAGTACTTCTGGAAAACCCAGTTTTACTATTAATTATACGCATGCCTTCCGTCGTCTTATTGGACTATATCCATACCTAAGTAGTATTTAATACAAGTAATCAATTTATATTTATTTCAACGTTAAGTTGCAATGTGACAAGCAGGTGCTTTTAATTTTTCAATTGTTACAATTTCGAACCCAGTCTACATTGGGTTCGAAATTGTACCTTGCGAAATATTTGCGCCTTTTTTTTGGCAGTTGATTATAAATTGAGTATATAGTAATTAATAATATACATATTAAATAGAAAACATGCTAGTTAGTCAAACAGAATAATTTAACTTAGAAATATCAATTGACTATGATAATATGCTAAGTATCTATTCAGATTAAAAGCATTAGGGTTCTATTTTATTTTATAGCATGCCAAAAAACTAGATCGATATAATCCGTGCCGTGATGTCCTTGTTTATTAACGAGTTTTTGTTCGTAGATATTCTTCGTGATGCGCAAGAAGTTTGATCACGTGTCAAAGCTCCATGTAATCCACCACGGCATCATGCCCATGTCTGTCTGGTTCGGAGTGAAGTTCACACCAGGTCAGTCTTAATTGATGAAGTGTTGTAATATGTGCTTAATGTATCGTCTACGTCGAAGTGACTCGTACCTTGATCTATGAGGTCTTTCAAGGCAGAACTGCAAGTTTCAATTGGTCATAAAAACTTGTGCCGATTAGCCGATTATTTTATTTCGATGTATCTATTTATTATAAGTGCTATTTTTATTTGAAAAATATTTTTTTGGTCTACATATTTTCTAATATTATAAATGTGAAAGTATATTTACTTTTTATTTGTTTGTTTGTTACCGCTTGGCGTTTTAACGACACAACCAATCATCACGAAATTTGGCATGCACCTTACTAATAATTCCACTTTGTATGTTTGTTATTTTATTTATCCCGTTTCTTTATAAGAGAATGTTAATATGAGAAACAAGTCAATTTGATCTACCGAAATTATGAGCTAGCTTTTTAATATATATAATATTTATACATCTATTCACATTTATAATATTAGCATAGATATATACATTTATGAATAGTTAAGGTTTTATTCTAAATTATCTATCCAGATTATCGATTGTGAAAAAAACATCAAAATAAGTCCCGCATTACCACCGCCGCCAAACTAAAAAGCTTTCAGAGACTGTTTTGCTCTTCTGTCAGCGGCTGCATGAAAACAGCTCCTACAACAGCAATAGAGTTGGCCCTCAACATAACACCCCTAGACCTGCACATACAGCAGGAAGCGGCGTTAGCCGCTATCCGACTAATGCATCTGGATCTATGGGGTAAAAATCACTACAGTCCCCACACTTCTATTCTGAACCAGGCAATCGAATATGAACCTTTGATTGCGGCTCCGTGTGACACGACTCATAATCATTATATATTTAACAAAAAATACCAAATACAAATTCAAGAAGAGGAAAAGGACCAATCCGGTGTACATGAATTACGCATATACACCGATGGCTCCAAAACCGAGAACGGTTCAGGAGCCGGAGTCTTTTCCTTAGACCTGAATATAAACGTGCACATACCGCTTGGCGTACACAGCTCAATATTCCCATGCGAATGTGTTGCAATAACCGAGGCTGCTGCAGCTGTACATAAGCTAGGAATAAATGGTTTTAGCATTAGATTCTTATCTGACAGCGCAGCAGTACTAAAAGCATTACGAAACAACAAGACAAACAACAAATTGATAATTGAATGCCACCATTCACTGGATAGGATATCTTCCAATAACCGAGTTATCCTCCAATGGATAAGAGGGCACAGTGGATCTTATGGTAACGATGCCGCAGACGAACTGGCTAGAAGAGGCTCAGGAACGAGGGTGGTAGGCCCGTATCCACTTCTTCCTCTTCCGTTCTCGCAATTTCGAATGTGGATTCGTCAAAGATCCGCTGACATACAAAACCAAAGATGGATACAGGCTACTGATTGCAGACAATCAAAATTGGCCGTACCTACGTTGAATCAACGACTATCAAAACGTTTATTACATCTAGATAGAAAAAACCTCAAAATAATGATAGGGACAATAACGGGTCATTATCCATTAAACAAACATTTATACACAATAGGAGCCACAGACAGCCCTCTATGTCGAGGTTGTTTCGACGCTGAAGAAACGGCTGCTCACGTAATCCTGGAATGTGAGGCTGTGGCCCATCAACGTTTAGAAATCCTCGGAACGGTGAGGTCGCTCCGTGAAGCCTGTGAAGAACCCAGGAAGCTTCTGCGCTTCTGGGCGGAGCTAGGTTGGCTGTACTAGCCACGACTCACACGCACAACGGCCCAAATGGGAGGCTAAGTGCGGAAAACAGAGTCTCTCTTATATTTACATTTACATTTACAAGTCCCGCATTAACGAAGATATCGCATAACCTATATCTATTAAAATATTCATTGTTTGCTTTGCAATAAAATGTATTTTAATTGTCAAAAAATTAATGTGGTAATTAATGTGTAATCGTCAAAAATCTAATAGACAAGGGAATAAAACTTGTAGGCTATAAAAGAAACCATTGCATTACATCGGAACCAAAAATACCTTCAAGTTAAAAACCTTCTTCACTTAGAAGTGGCTTAAAAATAACATGTACATCGTAAATATTTTATGATCTAAGCAACTGAATAGAATAAAAAAAAAACACAAATATTCTTTAGAAGTAGAGGATACAAACATACGTGTTTGAATATGTAAACCATGTTTGAACATCAAGTGACAACAGACTGATTCCGAGTTTTCTTGACGATATCACCTTCTAGAATGGTCATTACCTACTTGGCTTATTTATTCGTGACGTTATAACATACAGTACATTTCGTTATTCTGTTAAATAAAATTATGCATAACTGTACCCACATAACAAATAAAACCTAAGAGAGGTGTATAGTTCATTTCAATAGAGCTTAATAAAAATGCCAAGAAATGAATAATTAAATTGGATATGATAAGCGGCTGATATAATAGTAATGATAATATTAAAGAATAATACAGATTATAAAGAATAACAATATATATACAAACAAAATCAATACTTGTTATAATTACAATGGGCGGCCATATTGCTAAATAGCGATCTTTTACAGGTAACCTTAGGATGGAGAGGAATAATTAAAATTGATATCCACTAATAGTACAAATAAAAAGTCGATTATTTATATGTTTTGATTCATTACTACCTATATTTAAAAAATACCTACGTATTTCTCTCCTAATTTCAACGGTCACCTTTTCTGTAAGTTTTGTTGAAATAAACTCTTGTGTATATTATGTGTAACTAATATACAGAATGGACTTTGAGACATGAAGTAAGGGCCTAAACTACCTTTAATGCCGTCTCTATATAGATATAACCGTATACTCGTATACCTCTAAACTCCATCTGCATAATGATGTATGATTACTCAATTAAGTTTTTAGTGATGTTTATGGTGTTTGAGTCAAATTGTTCGTTTGTCGATTCCGTCTTGTTTTAGTATCAATTAAGTATTTATGTTGATTTTGATGTATATTGTACACAAAATAGGTGAGTTTCGAAGGGAATGTAAACAAACTTCCAATATTAACGAATAACCAGCTTGACGTTTTAGAACGACAAGATATTGTAATAAGTAGATACTTATTAATTTTTATTAATTTACCTTGTATATAGGGAGATGTCGGAACATATATAACATCATTTTGAAAAATGTTCTATCTGTGACACTGAACATTTTTTCCAAATGAATGTGTCCAAACGATAGAAAAATTTTAGGCTTTATACTAACTTAACATCTGAACGCGCCGTGAAAGGATCAAATTGTTTTACTATATAAAATAATAAGAACTAGTCTTTCTTCGTTTAGTAGTGGTCACATAGGCATGACTTTCATTAAATAGTGGCACCTAGACAATAAACAGTGGTTACATTCTTAAACTACTTAATGAAAGGAAAAATCTGCATACTTTAAGAGACGTCTATTAGTTGTATCAAAGAAAAAAAAAAATATAAATAATATAAATTTATAAACGAAACCAAGTTGCCAGCAACATTACTTCTATTGAGCTTTTACTAACACGAGTTTGTATTTTTATACTCAGGCGAGCAGTCTACATTATGTTGCTTATGTTATTATTATATTATGCTATTAACTACTACACTACTTAGGTCATGTTACTCGTATTTTTACTTGTAGCCTAAATATCTGTAAGTGTCGTGGAGTACTGGAATAAAATTTTATTCATTCATTCAGTTTTTATCTTTATTTTCAGGCGGCCACTCTACCTTCTTCGGTATGCTGAATACATTTGTACACATTATTATGTACACTTACTATTTGCTGGCGGCGTTGGGACCTCAAATTCAAAAATACCTGTGGTGGAAGAAATACCTTACCGCCTTGCAGATGGTGAGTAATATTAAACAAAATATATCAGTAGAAGTTATAACTGCCTCTGACTCCCCCATTAAGAATTACAGACGTGAGCAAATTTTTTTTTTGTTTCGGCCTTTCTTTTGAAAACCTTTTGCTTTTAATATCTATGATTTTTGGAGTAACTGTTAAATCGATTTTTAATTTTAATTTTAAATTGATTTATTCGAATTGATTAAACAGATATTATCTACTTAATATATTTCTATTAACAAGATTATTAATTGTTACTAGATAGCGATAATAAAAGTGTAGTATCATCAATTTTATATTGGGAAGTCTTTTTAAGTACGATTTCTTAGAGTAAACACTCTAATTATCGTAGATAAAAACGCCATTATTTTTTTAATTTTTTTTTTATATTACACAAAATTATATATAAATAGGTACACGAAACTACTCTTGAGACTAAAAAAGTAGTATTTATTTACTATCAGATGATATATTAAAATAGACATAAAAATACAGTTGAACTGAGAATCTTTTTCGTTTGTAAAATTAACTGAAATGTATACAATATTTTCTTTGTTTCAGGTGCAATTTGTTCTTGTGTTTATTCACGCGTTCCAACTACTATTCATTGACTGCGATTATCCGAAGGCGTTCGTTTGGTGGATAGGAATGCATGCTGTGCTCTTCTATTATCTCTTCTCCGATTTTTACAAGCAGGCATACTTAAAGAAAGTCAAAGTAAGTTATTATTTTTAGTAACAATAATTTCTTATTTCGAGCATCTAGTACATATATTAGATAAAACGTTGCTTGATCTAAATATATCTTTACTAACATTATAAATCAGAAAGCGTATTTGTTTATTAGTTCGTGCCTTAAGAGCTCTATTAATTGCCATGAGTTTTGGAATACATACGAGTATAACATTTGCTTTGGAAAATAATACAAGCTACATTTTATTTTGATCAATCAATATATCCTCACGTGCATAAAATTGCGGGTAAAAATAATATGAGAACCGTATATAAATAATAGATACACTTATATATGTACAATTGTGCTTATTATTAATTAATATTAGTAGTTCTTTCCTAATACAATTCAGTGCTAATTAGCGTAACTCACTAAAATACATGCCATGTCTTTTAGCGAATACATCTGAATATTTACACTGTCTTTTAGGATGTAAATGACATTTGTAATGTAGTATTTATTTATTTGGATGATTAAGACGGAATAAGTTAATAGGATAATAGACAAAAAACAGGTATTCATAAAACAAGTAATATATGATTAAAGTTTGTCCATTTTCTACGTTTCTAATAAAATTACTGCCGAATATTATTATAGCTTTTTTACACCTATTTACATCTTGTGTTTATTATTTTATGTTCGTGAGAAAAATCTCAGGAACATTTATAGTCAATTATGTTTAGTTTTATGTTATAAATATGTAATTTCATAATCCAATTTATATTTTGATAATGCGTTGTAAATAACAATAGGTTAATTATAGTTATTTACATTGATTAAATGGCAAACTTAATGCTGTGTCCCATTTTCTACTAGCTAACCATTAGGTTAAAACAGAAAGCGTTTGAAGGCAGTGATGGCAAATATATCTATTAATTTCTTTATAATATACGTAGTTATTATAAGAGCAAAGTAAATTTAGATTTATTTTCCTTAGTATGTCTATGAAAATAATACAGTATTCGTTCGTATGGCCGGGATAAAAAGTAACCTACGCTAAGTTAGATACTGATGCGAATTCTTCTCTTTATTATTAATTTACTTAGGGAATATAAATAAAATTGAGTAATTACTATGATTTCACCCTAATGACAGTAACCAACAATAAAAAACTAAGCTCCAATCGCTCCGCTTAGTAAAAGTAACCTACGTTCTTCATTATACCAAATTTCATAATGATTAATTGAACCATTAAATTGTCAGGAGGAGACCAACAAAACACACGTTTGTATGAAACGAGATATAAAAGTAGATGAACTAAAAAATGTTTGTGAGGACAAATGTTTATAATTTTGATAATTAATTTTCTTTGCTCACCCCGTACAGGGCTCAACGTGGAAAAATATAAATATGCTCGTATACCTAAAATATTATTCAGTTTTGTTTAAAAGTGATAAAAGGATATTACTACATAACATATGTTTAATTACTTCGGGTTTATAGAAGACAATAAAATTGTTTTTAGTGTTTAAAATATTCATATTGATCCATAGTGATTTTATGGTAATACGGAAGTACAAATATACAAACTAGAATAAAATAATAACACATTAAATACTCAGATACGCATAAAAATAAACGCTGTCATTGACATTTAGTATATACATATGTATAATACCATATTTAATACTAGATCGAGGCCAAAATGTATAATTTACGAATAACTGTTTGATTTTACTTTTCATTGGTATTGATCTGATTGATTGATTGATTGATTGATCACTTTAGCAATTCAGAACGATTGAAAGATTCATATTTCCGGTCACTGATTTTGCTTATTATTTAAAAATTTTATTGGAAAAACGATTTATACTATACCACACTATATTAGATGATTTTGGTAAAATTTTGTGTGACCCGCTAAGTTAGATACCGTTGCGAATTTTTCTCTTTATTATTAATTCATTTAGGGAATGTTAATAAGATTGAGTAATTACTATGGTTACACCCTAATGACAGTAACCAACAATAAAAAACTAAGCTCCAATCGCTCCGCTTAGTAAAAGTAACCTACGTTCTTCATTATACCAAATTTCATAATGATTAATTGAACCATTAAATTGTCACCAACAAAACACACGTTTGTATGAAACGAGATATAAAAGTAGATGAACTAAAAAATGTTTGTGAGGACAAATGTTTATACAATAACAATAATCAATAATACAATAAGCTCCAATCGCACCGCTTAGTAAAAATAATAATATCTAAATATACTTTTTAATGTTTTTCATCAAATTTATTTAGATAAACTAAAGTGTTTTTCTATTTTCTTCCAGAACTCCAAAACGAAGGTGAAGGTGGAAGCTGATGCAGCTAAATCGGAAATTAAAGAGAGGAAATCTTCGTTGCTGAACGGTTTTAGTAACGGTTCCACGCTCAGTGACGTCCGACAGAGGGTGGCCGGTGCTGTTGCCTCACAGTGAACACAGTAGTTATATTTATGAGAATACTGACAGGACAATATACTTAAATTATTCCAGAACTGTATTGTGAACACTTATTGGTTTCAACTGGACTAAAGATGAAACTGGCTCAAGATCCCAACAAGATGATAATAGGTATTTTTATTGCCATGTTCATGTTTCTTCGACCTAAGAGATTTTATGACAGTATTTTATTATTGGAGGGCCGATAGAAATGAAGATAGAAGTCTTAGGTTACTCGGGTTTATAAGTGTGGTTATTCTTTATTGTGAATTAAAACATGTCCAAATTATTTTTTTCTGTGTTGTGATATGATATATGATGGTATGTGATAATATGTTTGCCACTAATCTCCTCCTTCAACCAGTACCTACCCAATGTGAATAATAGAGTTTTTAATTTAAGCGAATTTGATTTCAACAATATCTTGCTGGTTGTAGGCCCGATACATAAGGTCATCGTGTCTTCTGTAGTAATTTTAATATCATATTAACATATATATAACATTTTCGTATGTAAATAGTCTACCGAATTTAACTTAAATTTTTTCTTGAGTGGGCAAGAAATTCTACTCGCTACCTACCTTTCAGATTTTTATGTTCGACGGAGGAATGCTCAATTAAGTTAAGTAGAAGTTCATTAAGTTTAGTATGTACTTATAATTTATTGAAATTGTCAAATTTATTATATGTGCATTCTAATGGCCTGATAAAGTTGTAGGCCGTATATATTAATTGTGATTATAATTATTGACTTAGGGAGCATCGAGCCATTTAAACAAGACGTAATAATACGTAATATACATACTTATACAAAATCCTTCGTGAATCAAAAATATGCCATATTTTAAAATGTACAGTATAATAATACACTTCCGTCCAAGTGCTTATTAAATATTTACTACACGTTTAAAAAAATTTTGTTAAACACACGAATACTGTACGTAAATGTTCAATAATATTTAATCTTTATAGTACCAGCTGTACATGCGATCAGATAATATGGATATAAAATTTGTTATTATAATTTGAACTTGTTTATTATATATATTATATTGAAATATTTATTTGTTTTGATGATATTTTTTTTTATTCTCTGTTAAAGTATCTTGCTCCATATTTCTAAAAGAAATTATATTTACTTTCATGACATTAGATATTATTAAAATTATTGATATTCTGTTTCTTTTATAATTTATTTGTTGTTTAAAGACTAGATAGAAAATTTTACAAAAAATACTTTGTATATCTATTACTATTACACGAACACATTTATATACGAGCATACACAAGGCAACTACAGAGATTTTGATATACTGTGTATAATAATAATTTTTGCACTGTAATATAATATATTGTAATAACCCAGCGTTTGATGAGAATTCTAGGTGCATACAATGCTTATGTTTATAAATGGCCGATATTGTCCCAAGAAACTACTTTAGAAAATAACGGTCACGGTCGGAAACGTGTATACGTGTGGGTTCAGAAAAATGACTCCTAACAGATACATGATGACACCTACAAGTAAATAAATTAGCGCAATACAAAACGACACCTCGTGCCTTCTTACGTAATACTGTGGGAAACAGAGTGACTATCGACGGGATGGTCACTTTTGACTACATAGTGAAATGAATCGCTTACCGGCGGCGGTTTTCAGCGTTCGTGCTAGTGTTAATATATTGAATGAAACACATGCCAAGCGGAATTTTGTGTTATTCGTAAAATGTTTGATTTTATTATAAATTGAAATAATTTTAATCGGCATAGGGTAGGGTTGCCATGACCCAGCTTATAAATTTATTTTGAAACTAATAGTTGATATAAAATATAAATATGTGGATTTTTTTATGCGCATATGAGGCGAGTATATGCTGGTGCTTGCCACATTGTGTATATTATTGTATTTGTAAATATAGTATGGTACATATTGATAAAAGTACAACAGAATTTACTTGTGATACTTTTTACAATAAAAATTATAGAAAAATCATGTGAAAAATTATTTACATTCCTCATTATCCACATTAGCAATAATATTGTTATAAAATACCTTTTTTTCCTTACTAATATTATAAATGAAAAAGTAGTTTGTTTATTTGTTATATCTTAACTAATCGTCATGAATGTATAGATATAGTATTTGTGATGGAAACGGACATAAGACTTAGTTTCATCCTGATCTGTACTAACTGACCAGAATAAAAAGAAATCAATATAACACAGCCACGCAGACATTCTTCTCTTCATTCATATCTAGTATAGTATACATGTTTGTATGTAATCAATCATGCTTAAATGGCAGAAAACATTTGAATTAAATTTAGTACACAAGTAGGTTATATCTTAACTTAAAACATGATAGTTTCTGACAAAATTTAAAAATAGTTAATAACAATATTCTTATCTATAAATTGTTTCAAAATACAAAGACATTTTATAGTTAGGCTATACTAGACAAAGTCTATTTGACGAAAAAAAGCATTAGTTCCGCTTTTCTGCCCCTTTGAAGTTCAATCGGCTCATTACACAGGCGTTTGTAGTAAGCCGCATTAGCGCATCTCATTTTGTAGAAACCTACCTTATAGTCACTACACAAAGACTAGGGGAAAGAGATAATTACGAATTTACTAACAAGTAATGGACTATAAAAGCTCCGTTGCTAGTATTATATCGATTTTCCACGGTTCCTCCTGGAAACCATCATGGTTAATTCTCGTGGAATTCGTCACGATAGGCTAACTTACCTGCATTCCTTCCCACCTATCATCTCAATGACGTCCCGCTACCGTATAACGATAGCGCAGGAAGGGTTATAATAAAAAAAAAAAAGAAACTATACAAAGTCTACAGAAACTAGTTGCCAAAAACTACAGCTATGGGAAGTTATCAATATTTTATTGATTATGTATTATATAAGATAACAACTGTTAATTTTAGACCGAAAATTTCAATTATCGTGCAACAAAACTTATAACACTAAAAAATTTTATAACACAATGGGGCAAATGAGAATACGGCTGACCTGATGGTAAGTGACTACTGCCGCCCATGACTACCCGCAACATCGAGGGAATTGTAGGTGTGCTGTCGGCTTTTAAAAAGGAATACACTTTTTTGTTGAAGGTTACGATATCGTAATAAAACAATTACTTACATGATTCTGATATTAGTTCAAGAGAATACTGATTGCTGGAAGTTGACTTGTGTTTGCATGGCTGTGGATTGATGAAACAACTACATGTCCTCACAACGCATGAGGGGTCGTAACAGACTGATATTAGTTCAAATTATCAGATGGGCCGTCAGTTGTTTGCCAAGTTGTAGATTTGTTATTATTGTTTAGACTGAAAATAGACTCCCCTATACTGTCAATATAGGCTAGCGGGGTATCAATAAGAAATAGTAGAAGATGAAGCCAGATCTATCAGAGTTGACCTAGTCATGAATTCTTAAAGATTTAATTAAAATGGTGTCTGGTGGTGGAGGACGATCTCATAGTGTATTTTACTAACAATCCTCTTCCGAGGGAAGGATTGTTAGTAATGCGAACTATCAGTCCCATTGCTAGCAATATATCCTATCAGGTCGACCTCCACGTGGCGCCCCCTGGAAACTATCATGCTGAATCCCAGGTATATTCATCACGATGGGCTAACTGACTTGCCCTTTCATCCTCACTTATCATTTCTTACTGGTGCCGCGCCAGAGTATACCATTAACGCAGGTGGAGTTGCCATTCCATTATTATCAATTGAAAAAAAAAACAATCCTCTTCCCCCTGTAAGGGAATAGAAATTAAATTTCCTTTCATCTAATACCTGTTTTGTTACATTTATTTTTATTAGATTCCTTTTAATAAACGTGCTGACGCATATAAATTAAAAACATAGGCATTATTTATATGGAAAATCTCCAGAAGGCATTCAATTAAATGTTCATTTTAATAAGGCCGTGGTTATTATTTTTCTTTAGGTAGATGGCGGCATTTTTTATCCAGCTATTATAAATAATAATATAATTTAAACAACCATAGATAAAACATATATAGTTCCGTAATTTTATTTGTAAACAATTTTCACGGCTACGACTCTAATATGTCTATTATTATGTTGATGCTGTAAGCAATATAATTAATTAATGATGGATCAAGTTACGTCGTTGCGCGATATTCTAAAGGTACGGGCGGTACCTACTTAGCAACGACTCATAATAATGTGCCTACAGGTAATGAGTCAGTACCTAATGTGTACATAAATATAATACCTACTTTATTTTATTTATTATACATCAGATATTTATTCAATAAGCTTAGTAGTTTTTAATGGATGAAAATTAAATGATAATTCCGCTTACGCTATCCACTCATCGCAATGAATACAATGGTTTCCAAGAGGGACTACGTGGAGGTTGTCCTTTGTTTAATGGGTGAAAATGGAATGGTCATTCCGTTTAAGCTGTCGGTATACACTGGTATGGCGCTAGTGAATAATGATAGGTGAGGAGGAGCAAGTTCTTTTATTTATGGATGATAATGGAATGGTAACTCCACCTACGCTCGCATCTGTATTCGTTGGCGGGGCATCAGTGAGGATTGATAAGTGAGGATGAAAAGGCAGGTCAGTCAGCTCTTTGCGATGGATACATCTGGAATTCAGCATGATGGTTTCCAGAGGTACTAGTATAGTATTATATTATCTGTGCCAGAGGGGACCACATGGAGGTCGACCTGCCAGGGTATATTGCTAGCAATAAGACTGGTAGCTCGCATTACTAACAATCCCTTCCCCCCCGGAGCATCAGGTTAGTTGGCCCTTCGTAACACATTCGACAACAATAAATACAATAAATAGTGATGGTTCCCAGGGGGAACTGCATGGAAGTCGACTTGACTGGGTATATTGCCTGCAATGGAGATTAAAATCCCCATTATTAACAATCTCTCTGCTTTTTGAGATGAGTAGTAGATTCAAACGTGACATTTACCACAGAGAGACTTTGTACAAAACTCATTTGCTTGGGTACCTCTGTCTCATTCATGTTTCTACCTTGATGCAGATGTATTTGCATGGTTATTTCGGTTTGAAGGATTTCGATATGGCAGTGAATTTTTAGGGTACTGTTCATGTCTATAGTCGACAGTTGTTATTTTCCATTAAGTGGGCCGTCAGCTTGTTTGCTATACCAGTATAGTATTATATTATCTGTGGCCATACTAAGATGCATAAAAACCGATCAAGTGCGAATCCATACACAATCGTCAAGTTTAAATTTTTTTTTTGTGAAATATCTTCAAATTTACGGTTTTCGGATTTTTTCCTTTACTTGTGCTATATGACATTATATTTATATCACATATTTTGGCATTCCCTTTGCGAATGTCAAAATATGTAATGTATAAATATATAAATGGAACATAAACATATCTTTTGATTGCGTCGATTTAGAAGCTTGATTTTTTCTTTTGATTGATATTAATTTCAATTTGATCGATTTAGAAATTTGTTTTTTTTCATCTCTCGCATTTTTTTCATTTTCTATCATCTCTCGCTGGTGCCCCACCAGTGTATACCGATAACGTTGGCGGGGTTAACATACATTGTCATCCATAAAAAAAAAAAATGAAGTAATCCTATAAGGTTTTTCTCTGTTTTTCCTTTGGAGGTACGGAACGCTAAAAAACATAAAATATCATTGATAAATCTGTAAAGTTTTAAAATTAAAAATAATACTTTAAATTCATTGATTTGGTAAAGTACCTATATACCTACTAGCCGCCGGGAGCAGAAGATTCTTTAAATGATATATCTATTGTATAATATCATTAAATCTCATATAATAATAATAATTATAATCTGTGCCTCTATCCACTATTCGATTCCTTATAGATACTTTCAAAAACTTTTTATATTATTCACGTAACCTACAACGACATCTATTGTTCAGTGGCTAAACATCACCAAACGATTGTTTTAAATAACATTTGATTACTTTCATTGAAATATACAATTTGAGCATGCTTATCACAGAAAAATAGTAAAGTTTTCTGTATCGCAGACGTATATACACGTATGTATATTATAAATGCTACTTACCACTAGATGGCAGAATAACATAATTTCAAATTTATATGCCGGATACATGTGGATTCAAGATGAGAAAAAAATATTTCTAGATCTAAATTGTGGACCATAATGAATGGAGGTAAATATATCATTTCACAGAATACTCTACTACACATATTATGTAAATCTAACATGACAGGGATATAACTAACTAACATCGTCTCTTGAATTGTTTCGTAAAGGTGTTTATGTGGTAGCATAAATTATTTTGCTGTTGAACTTTGAATGTGGTATATGATCTACTTATTTAGTATCAGTATTTGGTTTAGTAAAAACTATCATCATCATATTACATCGTTACAGTATATTGTGAGATAATAAAATGGTCTCTAAATTTGTAAAAAATCACTAATTGCTATTTTAATAAAATATTTGACCACGAGAAAGTATTAAATAATTAGGTTGACTTTAACTCAAAAAATACAAAAAAATATCAGCAAATTGCAGTTTTTTTCCCAAAAAAAATATTAGAACATAAGCTATCAATGTATTCGCTCCGTGCTACAAAATGCAGAATATAGACCGTTATGCGGTTTTCGCTGCGCTTTATAAAATATGTGCCTTTATAAAATATCAGGACTAAATAAGTGTTTATTATAGATTATATTTTGCCTACAACTCCGTTGGTGTGGATTTTGAAAGTAGCTAACCACTTCTAGATGACGTATTAAGATAAAACATACACCAGATTTTAAGTTGGACCTTCAGGAACACACCGCATCCAATTTTCAAAAAATAATAAATATCTGTTTTACTCTATGCTCTCTGAATACTTTTTGCCTATCGTTACAAAAATTAATCTTGTTCACGCCCTAATTATTTATATTATTGATTTTGCTGATATTTGTTATCCAGATCTTAATAAAGATCTTCTCGATAAGTTGGACCGTTTTCTCAACCAAGCCATACGCTTTATCTTCAACCTTCGGAAGTTCGATCACATTTCTCTGTCGGTCTCAGTTCGAATGGCTTCCCATTCGTCAACGTAGAAACGTTAGAATTTATTGTACCCTCTATATTCTTTTTCGAAACCCCCAGTCTCTTAATTATTTAAATAGCAAATTCAAGTACTTTTTTGAAACTCGTAACCTTCGATCCTGTGATGCTTTCCAACTATCTATCCCCTCTCACTTTGATTTGCTTCAAATTCTTTTCTCCTATATTTTTCACGGCTTTGGAACGTGCTTCCTGATACCATTAAGAGACAACCGACTAAATCGTCTTTCAAAAAAACGTTTATGCTTACTTTTGTACTTTATCAGAGTAGTAAGTACTTTATATTATTTATATTATTCTTAATTTCGTGTATAATATAGTATATTTCATACATAGGTAAGTGTATTTGTTGTATATATATATATATATATATATATATATATATATATATATATATATATATATATATATATATATATATATATATATATATATATATATATATTCGTTTATATATCTGATTTTAGTATTTATGTATATCAATAATTACTAGTACCGCATTTGAATATTCTGACACTTCCCTATGGTTGACTGGAAGAGAATGCTTTTAGCATTAAGTCTGCTATGTACTAATGAATAAATAAATAAATTATATACATAATAAGACACCTCATATAAATTTTTCTTAAATATTTCTTATGTACAAACATCGTTTGTCTATAGGTTTGTTTATACCAATAAAATACAGTAAATAATATGAACTAATTTATTTATTTATTTTATTAACTTTATTGACCAAATGAAAATATGATACAAAAGGCGGATGTTATACTTGTAGCATTCTCCATTCGTAATGAATGTGTAGTTGTACATTTTTGTATAGAACCATAATGACTGAACTATACAGCAATCAATTATAATAACCATATTCATTTATTTATACGATCCACATAACAAAGCCAGCAGTAACTTTGATACCTATCTACATTAAACAGTAAAAAAATATCATTGTATTTTTTTCTCCTGCCAATTAGCTACCTGAGTGTATTGTTTATTTACTTCCCTAGATCAAGCAAACAGTTGTCTAAATTGTTTGGTGGTACGGTTTTCCCACAAGCATTGAGAGGTGACACAAATTGCACAAACCATTGTCTTTATAAAAACTTTATTTACAATGAAATATTACAATCTATCCTTAAAACTTACAATCTATGTTCAAAGATAGGAAATAGGTCCATAAATTATTTGTTAAACATCGATTTTATCAAGCGTTTGTACACAATTAGGCTTATTTAAATATCTACTCCTGCATGCAACTCAATCTCACATTATTATACCTATAGATGTTCTTTTCATTCACGAAGTTTCAGGTAACCGCTTTAAAACAACACTAAAAAAATAGAAAAGAGAGTGGTCAACTGAAACTTTAATACCCAAGATACATATTAACAACTTAATCCAATATGAACAAGAATAATAATATCACAAATAATTTAGAGTAACTAGTGATAAGCCTCTTTGAATACTCGTACTTATATGTTTTAAACATTTGTTTCTCAGTTCTTCTGTCTAATATTAATTAAACAATTAACGAAGTTATTTACAAAAATGATCAGTATTTAATTTGAATGTATGTGTTTGGAAAAATACGACATTATACATGTGAAACTAATTATCTGTCCCGACGAATAATGCGTTGAAATACGAGAATTTAATTTTTAAAAATTAGAAAAGAAAATAACGATTTTAATTATCACGGGAGCAAACTCTATTCTATATATCTAAGAGAAATAAACTATCTAAACTTTAAAGCAAAAAATCAGCTATTTCAATCGTAATAAATTTAATAAGAAAACAACACCTATGTAGAAGAACAGTGAGTTTTAAAAAGAAGAAAATAATAATGGATAATTATGCATTATCTATTTTTATTTTCTTCTGTGATAATTAATAATATCTCTATTATTGTACTATTTTTACTAGTAGTTATATATAAATATTTATTCATTGCTATGAACACATATACTTTTATCCAAAGAGGCGACTAATTTAATGGCAGTGAATTAAGTTAAAGTAACAGAAATTTTAAGCTTTTGTTTTAGTTCTCCCAAATTCTTCTATATGATCATACTCTACGAAACCTGGATCAGAGTCGTAATATGCATAATCGTAGCTGGTGTCTTCCTTTTTGCTAGCTGGATTCGCGAAATACGGTGGGCGAGTACTAGTAGTAGGTCGTAAGATATGCGCTGGTGGCAATGTAGGTGGTGAAGGTGGCACAGTTTCTGGACGTGTATTAGGTATCGATGTTGTTCTTATTGCTGCGTTGTTTATAGCTGCAATATTCTGCGGCACAAATGCTGGCGGTTCAGTTGGCCTTGACGTAGTCGTATAAGTTTGATGAAAATCAAAATTACGCGTTTGTGGTCGCACAGTAGTAGTATAAGTTGGTTCAGGTACAAATGTTGTTTGTGTTGATAGTGCAGGTGGAGTAGGCGCAGGTCTAAATGGTCTAGGAACAGCAGTCTGAGAGGAAGATTTGAAAATTTGAGATTTGCCACGGGATTTTTGATCTTCAGGTAATCTGTTACCACTAGCTGCTATATTGAGAGAATGTGCTCCGGACAACAATTCGCGATCGTATAACTCTGGTTTATATTGTCCATCATCCTCTCCTTGTGGAGGGCGATACTGACCATCATCTTCTTCAACATGATCAAAATTGTGAGCGTTAAAACCCAAATTTGTATTGTAGGCTATAGTATTTAGGTTTGATGGAGGATTTGAACGCGTGGTTGTATAAGTAGTGGTAACGGATGGGGTGGTAGTAGGGCTGTTAAAATTATTTTGTTTAGAAAACGACACATAGTTAGTTTTTTCGGATTCATATGTAACACTGTTATAATTTTTAAAAACTGGAGTAGTAGTTGTACGAGTTGCAGCGGTGTTATAATCTGTTGTGGCTGGTTTTGTGTTACCTCTCAAGCTATCAGTGTTGGTGTTCACATTTCTAGCTTTTAAAAAGTCTTTTAGTTCAAATGGAGCATCAGTTATGCTCAAACTTGTTTCTAGTTTAATCGGTTGTCTATTTTTATTCAAACCGTTTAGTCCTGGAGTGGATTGTGCATCGTAATTATATAATTCTACTAAGCCTTGTTTTTTAGTAAAAGGTGCAGGAGTTGTCTGCGAAAAGAGTGTTGTTGGAGAGTTGCTAGGGAAGTATTTATTTTGTTTAGGAGTAACTCGACTTACTTCTACATATTCATCTTTGTATTCCTTAAATTGAGGAGGCAAAGTAGGAGTGGTGGACACCAAAGTGGTTTGGCGATTTTGCGGTACAATTCGACGATTAATGTTCTGAACATTGTTGTTACGAAGCTGTGTGTGTACTTGAGATTCTGGTTGTTGTTGTGACTGATATTCTGGTTGTTGTTGTTGATATTTATCTTGAGTTGTTGTCAATGGTTTTTGTTGAAAATATTGTTGCTGTTGGGGCTGCTGTGGGGGCTGTTGTTGGGGCTGCTGTTGGGGCTGCTGTTGAGGCTGTTGCTGTGATTTTTCTTGGTCACGTTGCTGTGGCTTTTGTAGAAAATATTGTAGTTGTTGAGACTGCTGTTGATTATTTTGTTGAGATTTTTGTTGAGTATATTGTTGTTGCTGAACCTGAGATTGTGGCTGTTGTTGATTTATTTGTGTATTTGGTTGAGAAATAGATTGCTGCCGAAGTTGTTGTTGATTTTGTTGCTGTGATTTTTGTTGATAGTATTCTTGTTGAGGTTGTTCCTGATTTTGTTGCTGTGATTGTCGTTGGTATTGTTGTTGCTGTGGTTGACGATTATATTGTTGTTGTGGTTGTTGATGGTACTGTTGATATGGTTGTTGTGGCTGTTTAGTAATTGTTTGTGTAGATTGAGTATTTTGTGCCAATGTCGACTGCGGAACAGGAGTAGATACGTAGACGGGACGTTTTCTTACTAGTTTACGTTTGGTAGCTTCATACTGAGCCGAGCTTGAAGGTTGTGTTGGAGACGGAGAGGGTGTAGTGTATTGTGTGGGCGGTTGCGTATAAGGTCGAGGTGTTGAGTTTCTTCTAAACGATTGTCGCACAGGTGAAGTGGAAACTGGAGATGGTGTAGGAAAAGAATCATCGCGACCTCTTTCCCGTTGTCCGCTAAAGAAATCTGAGGAATGGGCGGCACGAAGATCAGATGCTCCATTGGATGCAGAATGGTTAGGTCCTTGGGACAAACGACGATCTCCGGTCTCAGCTCGTTGGAGACCGAATTCAGCTTCTTCGTCACGATTTCCACCAGTCGAAAGTTTCTTTGTATCATATCCTGTTTTTAAAAAAACATATTGAGTATTAATTATTATTGCTTTTTTAATTATGATGTTTATTTTTAATTTAAGTAGCATCCTTGCAGGCTAAACGATAAAAAAATAAGACGATATTATTGCTTTCCTCAAGCAGCGCAGTGCAAGCATATGACAAAAGCTCAATCCAGTATGTGTGTATCTAAACAAAACAAACAATTTTATTACATATTATAAAAAAAAATTATGTTAGTCGAAACTATAAGCGCTTGCTCTTTATATTGTTTATGCATGGAATTATAATTAATGTAATCTATATTTCAATATAACGCGCCTTATTTGAATTATTAATCAATATTATTTTACTAACTACCTAATGGGTCCCATGTAACAACAATGCATGCTGCAAGTGAATTTATTTACTTACTACATTTCGTTTTTTATCTGTAGTCTTAATACGAGTATATTTACAAATACATTAATTGCTAGATAGCGACACTCAGAAATATAACAAAAATCACTTGAGATACCAACGCATTACAAATGATCCGATATTATTATTAAAACTGTATAATGCTTATTAAAATTATCAATTGACGGGTATGTAATGCGTTATTTTATATTTATGAGTGTTTATGTTAGTTGCAAAGCTGGCTCACCGGATCCTATCTTGTAGAGATCAAACTGACCGTCGTAGATATCAGCGGGACATGCTAGTGGGTCGTCATCACCCCAATCGGTGCATGTTTGCGCCTCCTGGTGAAATAGTGTACCGGGTGGACAGAAGAATCTGAAGTCTCGAATCCCACCGCCTGCTACTCGAACACAAACGTGGAAAGCCTTGCATCCTGATTTTGCATCTGCATAGTACGCGCCCAATATGCGACCTTTACAGTTGAACCTCTCTGCTCCCCCTAAATAGATAAAAACATTGTAAATAAAATAATTTTATTAGCCATTTGTCAGTGACATTAGTATTATTTTTTAAATTTATTTTAAACTATAACACGTTAAATATGAATCATTGTTTATCCTATAACTCGATATTTTTTTGTCCTTCTGTATCATCAGAATTATATATTTACTTTATCTTGTGGCAGGATTGTAATAATGGAATTGTGTTTAACTAAATTGTAGACTTCAAGTGACGAACTGATCCTTTACTACGATCACTCTTTTAAAAAGTGAAAAAGAAAAACTAGTAAATATAGTTAGGGTAATGTCAGCTATATTTTAAATAAAAATTATAATTTATTTATTTGTGGAAATTATTAGAGATGTTTGATCATTTCAGTAGTTTTAAAATAATTTGTCTTTTTTGGTCAATAATAAAAAAACTTCCTTAATAATTGCCTGCATTTATTTAAATAACTTTGCTTTATTTAAATAAAATTAAGTTGTTGGCGTGATATTAGGGTGTGATAATGAACATCATATGAGTCACTTAATTTTTTTCTACAACGAACTGGATTGTTACATATACCCATAGGATACAATAATAAAATCTATTTATTTATCATAACGAAAATCATGAAAAAATCGTTTTAATATTTCGAAATCTTTAAAACTATCATAAATTGTGATATTTATAACTTATTGCAATATATGAAATATATTTTTAATATATATCAAAAATATATTGCAATACTGTACTTAACAATAATAAAATTATATTATAGATATATTAATTTTATATAATCAACAAAAACAGATCAAAAATAACTCGCTTAATAACCTAACTACCTATTTAAACTGAGAATTATTAAAATGTTTGGTTTTATTAATAGTATCCGGTTCAAAATGACAAATAAAAAAAAAATATAAACAAAACAATTCGTGATGATTTGAAGGTTAATAAAATTAATACGTAGGTATGCTATTAGATGTTTTTTAGTTACAGCTATATCTGATATTAAAAAGATCCCAGATTACCCGTAAAATTAGTTATGAAAATAAAATTATTTCTAAGCACAATTTTTAATTTCGTTATTTAAGGTTCTTTGAAAAAAAAATCATCTCTATTCATCGGACATAAAATGGAAATTTGACCAAATCATTCATCGTTCAACATCGTAATTACCTATATTTACACCTATTTAGTACTTATATATTATTATTATACCATCTTTTGGTGATTTACAAATTGCGTACCTGTCTAAAGTTAGATATATATATCACTTAATATAACATAGACTCAACCAAAATCTGAAATAATGTAATGTACTAATTTATATATACCGATTATATACTCGTAAATGCCGTGTGGTCCCAGCATAGAATGGGTCACCCCTTCCTTTCCCGTTGGTGTCGTGAGAGGCAACCAAGTGAACTTGAAACGTCAAAAAAGCCTGTGTGTGTAAATGGCCCCTGGTTTTTTAGCTCGAGACCGTTCCTTATGATAGTCTCTGGGGGAAGTTTATTTTCAGTGGTGGACAGTTAACAGCTGGCAAGATGATGATGATGATTTTAACAATGTTTTTTGTACGCACAAACGATAGACATATAATAAGATAATGCCAAAACATTATTATAAATATGAATATAAAGACAATACTGTTTCCTACGGTCACTATGAGCTATCTAGATGTCTATTTAATTACTTAATAGTATTAATTGGTATTTCAGAAAATACACGTCTCAAAAACTGCACTGTAAATACAGTACTTTAATAAATATTAAAAATAATGAATCCTAAATATCAACATTTTATTTTTCCTATTTTGTTACAGACTGAACAGCTCACTTAAGGAATAACTTTTAATAATAAAAAAATAATTATTTAATTTTAAGTACTTTGTATTATCACAATGTTTAATTCGAATTAATATATTGTTTAAAATAAGGCATTCTTCAGCTGATGTGCATTTTCTCACTCTACTCTTTTACTACAAATATTCTCAGCAGCGCCGGCGTCATAGTAATTACAAAATAAACACATTTCGATCTGAGATAAGCCATATTACATATATGGGAGGAGAAAAAGTTAAAATTTTCAACATATTTAGTTTCTGTGTTATTAAGTTGGTGACACACTTTCAACATCAGTAAAACGTTTCTATCTGTATGTTTAATGTTTAATAATGTATCTTAGTAATTAAATGTTAATTTATTTTTTAATTACTTTAAATTAATATGAAAAGAGACTTGAGAAATTTGGCCATATCTTTGACGTAATAATTGCCTTTATTGCATACATCTTAGGGAACTCGTATGGATATACCGCATTTGACAGAGTAAGTGACATATTTCGAAGTGTAAAACATGATAACACGCCCACTGTACCCAGGAAATGTTTATTTGAATTTTTTGTTATTATTTTCAGCAATTACATCATTCAAATTTTAGATGGATAAATAATGATAATGTAGATAATAAATTATAAAGGATTTCTATAAATTGATGCGGAACTTTGTTAATAATTTATAAAAGAAACATTAAACGATATATGTAAACAACAGTTTATTCTAATAATAACCACATTAATACATGATTACCGAAATATAAAGATTTGTAAGTAGTTAGTTATTTAAATTATTATAATTTGATAATGCCGATAGATGCAAACGTTAATACGGTCGTGACTCAAAGACTGTGTAACCCACGTACCAATGCGAAGCGTGTAGGTCATCAGTCATCAGATAGGTAGATAACTTAAAATCAAATAATCATCGATGCTCGCATTTGGGACGATTGCGCGAACTGGGTGTCGCCGCGATGATGAATTTTGCAATTGTGACTATATTAGACGTTTCAAAACGTAATTTATGCTGTTGATGACTCGATAAGTATTGCACCAAAATTAATTAAGAAGTTTTTCATTTCCTGATTCGGTTCTAATAGAGTTATAAATAAAAAAAATACAGTTTTGTATTCTATAACTATATAATGAAGTAGGTCTATGAAAATTTTACCTACTTCTACAATGAAACTACAATGATACATCCGTTTTTTGTATTTAAAAGATAATTTTATGACATATTTTTTTATATAATTAATGAAAATAAGAAGTAACCTGACGGCTCACCTGATAAATGATAACCGTTGTTCACGCACCTATATAAAAAACCATATACTTTTATTGTGAGAGCGTTATTTCTTATATCCAGGTTACATTAGCTTTCATCACCGTTGTGGCAAAGAAAGCTAATGTACACAACGCACACTTTGTTGTTTCATGGTAAATAAAAGTAAACCGATGGTACCTATCAGCAAGTTACGTGAATCTTTACTTTACGAAATAAATTGGTACGGTAAGATTAGGTACATAAAAATAGTTAAACAATTTAGAAAAATTGTGTTTTATTAATGTTTAGGCAGCAGCGTGCCCCTCATGTTGTTCCACCTGGCAAGCGTGGTAATTACTGACAAATCCCCCCTTATGGGGGAGGCCTATGTTCAGCGGTGGACAGTTAACGGCTGTTATAATGAATTAGAATATATACCTATATTATTAATAAACGATAAACAACAATTAATTTTATTAACTAAAGGTCTGATAAAATGTAAAAAAATAAAGGTAGCATAAAATGTTCGAAATATATATATATATAAATATTATCTTGTAAATATATAACTACATAATTTCTGTGAGTACCGGTTATTATATTTCTTAAAGACGTGCACTTTATTGTATTATCAAATTACATCAAATTTGACCTTTCCCATAATCAATTTACCATCGTCAAGGATGTTTTGATGTTATGTTTGTAACCATTTGTACTATATGTGAATAATATTTGATTAATACCTACATGTAAATTGTTGTTAAATTTACACATGACTTGATAGATTACTTAATAAAATCATGAAGTACCTAATAAAAATAGAAACAGTAGTTTATTTGTATATAAGGCTAACTACTATGAAGGTTTATGTGAACATTTAAATTAATATAAGTCACGAACAATAACCAAATAATTACTATCAAAACTATACGAAGATATTTGTCCGTATATTATAATAGAGTTTAAAATAATTATTTTAAATCAACATTCTTCTTCAAACTCTTCGGGTCCGATTTCGATAAGAATATGTTACATCGTATGCACATTATGATGGTGGTGAATGGAACACTCGACATTCCCACATTCAGTTCGAAACTTCAGAATTACGTTTCACAGTAACTTTATAGTTTGTCTTTTTTCTTGCAAATGAAGTAGTTAAAGTAACAGACCACCTAACAGTTTTCTGTGTTACATTTCAACTTTAAGGTTAGCTGTCTGCCTAATTTGATTTTAAATTATACAGTAATTCCATGAGTAAAATGTAAGAACACTTCCAAATTTTTGCATTTCTAATATTTAGTACAATTAGAATATATTTATTTTCTCAAATAAAGTATAGTTTCTGTCATGTGAAAAAAAAAAAAAAACTGTTCAATCTTATTCGGCAACAATAGAGACATGTAAACATTAAATAAAAATAAATATTTTAACCTTAGATTTCAACATTATACTAGTAAGAGGCATGTGAATGGTTATTTAGCAAAGATTGACAGATATAGATTGGTCATTGATAGATATAGATTGCTCATTAATATCAAGGTACTCATATCACTAAGATATTTCAGTATGATAAAATATATTTCACAAATATATTCACGGCCTATTAGCATTCCAATTTCCATTAAAATTTATGTGTAAATAAAAATATATATACTATTTCATTATTATATAATTCATTAAAATCCTTGAAAATAGAGGACACCACTTATGTGCTTATAATTTAAGGTAAACCATAGTAAGTTTTGTGTGTGTCTTAAACTTCTGAGTTTTCTTTCTTATAGATAAAATTGAAATGTTTGTAATTAATAAAATTTGGTAATGACAATCCATCACTATAATCGTGATAACAGTGAATATATTGTCAAGAGTATAAGACTAAAGAGAGAGAATGAAATATTTTACGAATAGAATGTATGTATATCCTGATGTTTGGTGCAAGTATAGCTAGATAGATTCATGATGAGTAGGTAGATAAGTAGGATGAAAACCGTAGTTCGTTTTACTAAAAGTTTAGTATTGTAACAATTTGTGAAACAACCAATGCATTTGACATGTCGCAAACGATTACATGACCATTTAAAACGCATGGCTCTATCTAGACATGTCCGTTGGACGCTAGAAAGAGCTCTTTATACTTTTAGAATATTATATTTGTAACTTTATACTAAATTATTTTAATTTAAATTTATATAATTCTCACAGTTTTATATAAAATTAGCGACCCACTCTGGCTTCGCACGGAATAATAGTACTGTATTTTTTTTAAATAGAATATAGCGCATGTTATTCGTTGATAATATATTTTTAGATAGTTTTTTTTAAAAAAAACGGTTTATTTATTTAGTTAATCCATAAAAAACAATATTATTTTTCCTTTTTATAACATTAGTTAAAATTTAGATAGGGCATAATATAATAATGTTTCGGTAAAATTTAATAAAAAGACAATCAAGATTTGTAAACATATTAACAGACTGTTTTTCTAGTCAGATCAATTACCCGTTTCTTTACAGTTTCATTAAGTTCTGTTGAAATATATTAACTACAGTATTTCACATTTTCTTAGTTATATTAGACTAAGTAGGTCCAGCGGAGGTTGAACTAGGTTCCCATGAGTGAGGTGGGGCGAGAGATAACATCACGGTTGCGCAACCTCCGCGCTCCGTGCTCCATGCACTGTGCCGCAAGGTGCCGTAGCATCCTCCGCGAAAGGTCATATCTACTCTTATGTAAATGTTATACGAGCATGTAACCTTTTCTATGGTTTTCTTTCATTTTAAATTCAAATAACTTACTTCTAGACTTAAATCAAGATAACGGACATTAATGAGGTATTTTAAGATATTTTTTATTGTCTATTTAGGTAATGAATTTATAATTTAATATTATAAATAGTTCTTTAATTATGAAAGTAAAAATCTTGATATAAAAAAACTATTAAAGAAAAAATACAGCTAAACTGGACTTTTCAAATGGCATAAAAATGGCTAAGATGAAGGATCGTAAAGTATGAAGTAACTGATAGTTGTTAAACAATTTATATTTGTTAAAAAATATTCTCTACAATGGTAACAAACGCTAGCTGCCCCATTTAAGACTACAGTCATTTCTTCTCGTATGCGTACTCTATTTTCATAAAATACTCTTGATGTAATACTTGTAATGGTTGTTACTATTGAGAGCTCACCCGCAATCATGTCGTATCAAATTCCGGAAAAAATATTTTTTATTCTATTGTAACGTTTTTGTTACTTTACAAATCTATAATTTAAGACTTCGTTGCACACAAAGAATAGACTTCAATCATGATAAGATTATTTAGAGACTTCCGAGTGAACACACCTTGTAGTAAACTCTTTCGATTAAAAAATAAACATTATAATCGATTATTAATTATTGGTGAAGGTATCACGTAGTATACAAAAATATAGTCGAATTTTCCACCTCCTTTTTGGAGTCGGTTGATAATAAAATGTTAAGGTAGATGAATTTGTTCCAAAATGTAAATAAACAATCATTGCATGCCAAGCGCCGCCGCGCCGATGGTACCTAACAATTGCCTATATGGAATTACAAATCGCGGTTGATGTTTTGATATACCATGAAATGACAATGTGGCGTAAATCTCAGTTTTAGAGTTTCATTACTGTAATGTATGTATATTGGTAATTTGTTATATATGACTATGACGCAAAAAAGAGAGTTGCTAGATTGGTTCGACAACGGACGTATCCTCGTTAGTTACTGTATTGATGCATCGTTTTAAGGTCTAATAACATTATCATATTTATATACATAGGGTCTATGTATATAAATATAATAGTGTTAATATATAAGATATGTCAATCTATTAATTTTATTAATATATGTTTAGATAAAAATGGGTGTAATATTTTAAACATGTTCATGATTGTAATCTCCCATGGATGGATATATATATATATATATATATATATATATATATATATATATATATATATATATATATATATATATATATATATATATATATATATATATATATAGACAGGCGTAGTTATCCTTTAATTATAGATGGACAGCGGCCTAGTGGGAAATTCATCACTCGTTTGTCACACGTTTTTATGGTTTTATAATATTTTGAATAGATTGGAAATACAGTAACAGAAACTACTATTTATTTATATTTATGACTCTAATTAATGACAATCGATCCTGTATTTTTAATACAGTAATAATTTACTTAATAAGTTTAGATTAGCATAATGTTCATATTTGCAGTTCTTTTGTCAACGGCGCAGGTGTGATGTAACATATTGTTGTGATGACGATGATTTAAATATTATTGTCGATCACTGTTATGTGACTCAATTATATAGAATGTGGTTTGTTGTACGCAAAACGACAACACATTATTTGCTTTCGTTTTTCATTGCGTCAAGATTTTTCTCACGCTTTAGTCGCTAGCCGCTGAGGCACAATGCGTTTATTGTTAGTTATTTCTTTTTTCATAATAATTTGTCGTTGAGATTTTGTTGAAACAATGATAGTTTTTATATTGCATTTATACATCTAAAACATTCTTGGTTTATGACTGATTAATCAGAACTTGCTTAAGTTGTAGTTATTCAGACATTATGTTGTTAATATTTTGAAATCATTCAACAAAGCATGCTTTTTATTGTTAGGGAGGCAAACAAGCAGACAGTCCACTTGATGGAAAGCGACTATCGTCGCTCATAAATACTTGCAATACGAGAGGAGTTGGTTGTGCGTTGCCGGCCTTTATGTTTCAGTGATCTAATATGGTGTGTCACGAAAAGTCAGTCCTAACTTTTATGTGAAGCCTTGTGGGTACTGAGCGAACCTTGAGTTACCCATCCGTTCTCTGTCGGCCGTCACGTCGCCCTAATTCGTCCGGAGAACGGACCGTGGGAAAGTCACTTATGCAAATCCGGGGAATCGATTATCGTGCGATGCGCGCGATACGTTTTGTCTGCGTACAGCGCGCGCCAGCGAGCGAGCACCCGCAAATGGAAAGTGCATAGGTTGCGCAAGAGAGCGCGTTCAATACTGCATTTGGGTACCACAGAGCATGCAGGCCACGCTTTGTGATTTTTTTGTTTGTCTATTATAATTAAAACATGACATTAATTTGAAACCTAAGTACTCGTATTATACTTTTTTGTGTTTATAAATTAAGTTTTCATAATAAAGAAAATAACTTTAGAAATGTTATTATATATTAGGGTTATGTATTATCACTGCAAAGTAAAATAAACATATTAGATGTTAGATATATATAAAAATATTTTGGCTAGGTATATATTGAAGTTTTAGAGATAAATTAATAATTGCAAAATATAAAAATAAAAATTTGTATTTAAAATATGTGATTATTTATTTTGGTAATTTAAAATTTATATTACCTATATTAATTGTATAAAGTAAATACTAATAAGCATTTATAGGTCATGGTCGCACATTGTTAACTGTGTAAATTATGCGTGTGAATATAAACCGCATGCTGACATATAAAATTTAATGATACCTTAACTGATTTAAATCAGCAATCTGTGGTAAATTATAGAATAGTTTGGCAATACATAGAAAGGAAAATATTAAAATATTCTATTTTAATCTATGGATACGTTATGTGAAAACTATTCAATGATTTTTGATATATCTAAACCAAATAAAGTAAAAATTAAAAATTTAAATCAATTTTGATTCGAAAACAAACAAATAGAATCAAAGAAAATATAAAAATGTATTGAATCTTTTGATAAATGAGATCTCATTAATATAATATTGAATACTTAAAAAAATCAATAACTAATATAAAACTTTATAAAAAACTATTCGAAATATGAATATGACTTCCACTTAATTTACGACAATTTCCCACACACCGGACGTGTTGCACTTTCCCAGATGCGCACGCGCGTGTAATTTCTGCCGCACTAACACAACTACGATATATTTCTTCACTCGTATTCTCTATCATTGAACACTAGCATCGATTTATGAGAATGAAACACACCATTAAAAATTTATTAAACATTACCTACCTCTATAACACTTGTTACGATCATTCACGAGCATTTTCCCATATAATATTACCTCTTTGAAGATTACCGGTGGTTCAATTTCCACAGTTTTCCGGTCACTTCTTAAATTAGATCACTGATGATTGTGTTAACGCAGGTCACAGATCACTTACCGAGTATGGGGAGCAAAGCTAGTACGATCCACATGGGAGGCATGTTGTCGCGAGGTGCGTCGCGAAGGGACTGTTTGTTCGATGCGCCTGCGCCGCCCGCCCGATATCAAAGAGGGGATGAAAGCTCGCATGCATCCGCCCGGTGAATGAAGGTGCGCTATAACAAAAATATAACTTGTTATCAATTTAACATTTATCGCTACAGTATAAATGTTGTTCCTTTTGAAACAGTAGACTAAAAAGAAATATAAAAAATATTTTTAGAATTATTATTATAATACATAAAAAGTGACTGTTGTGATGTTTTTTTTTTTTTAATTTAATCAATACAAAAAATATAAATTGTTGTTAGTTTTATATTTATAAAACTGAATACGATGAAAATAGAAAATGACAACAATCTCCATTACTACGAGCAGAGGTCGATTAAAAGATTTCGTATTACTCAAGTTATTTATTTGTTTATTATTTTATAGTCAAACGAATTGTTTATATTTGTAGATAGGTAAATCAAAAGATATATAAAGAGTTTATGTAATTAGTATCAACATATTGATAACGTATGAAGTTAAATTTATTATCGACAACTTCATTAAGTAGAAGGTAAAATTTTAAATGAACATATATATATATATATATAACATAATGTAATATATACATAATAATATGTGAAGCACAGACTATAGTTATATGTATGGTAGTGATTATATATATTGTATTATATATAATGTATCTATAATTCTAAAAGAGTACGAGAATTATGGTCATATAAATTTGGTAGTGTAATTTTGTAGGTACAATATACCTATATATTTAAGTATTGATGTTTCTCAAAGAAGTTTTATATTTGCTCTAATTAGCAGTAAACATGAATAATGATTTGGTTTCAACAGAGTATAATCTCAGTACTTCTTACAACTTCCTTTACGAATGCAATTTTATACATCAGGTCAGAGTGACGGCCGTTGTTGATAAAATAAAAACCTTAACAGACCATAAAATTGGTCTATAAAAAAATAACGACCTCATAAAAAGTAAGCTGCATAACAAATACTAATATCTCGACTTTCTACATAACGATTACGAAGAAATTTGCATAGATTATGTTTATGATAACATTCAACACAGAGATAGTCATTAAATAATAATAAGTAAATAATAATAAATGTCAGTTATTGAATCAAATGCAGTTGAGTAACTCTCGGAACATTATGCCACATATTAGCATTCAACATACCTGAAAGTGTGAAAACAAAAATCTCTGACAAGTGTTTGCAACTTGCAGATTTTTGTCATCGGTGACTTATGGAATCGTAAAAAATATAAACATGCACAGAAAAAACTAATTTGATCGATAAAATAAAGAATAGAATTTGTATCAAAAAGCTTTCGACATTTTAATTATTTAAATAAATTTATCTCGTATGACGTTTTAAAAATTTGACATGCCATTTACTATTTATTATTTTTATTGTAATTAGAATAAATATTGTTACTACACAAATAACACTATAAACGTAAGTTTTTACATTTTGCATGCCATTAAAACAACGTAGCTAAAGATGTTGTTCTATAACACTAATTAAGATTTATTTCCATCATATTTATGCAAATAAATGATTATTATTATTAAGTATGGAGGACAAACAGTGGTAATTGGCCAGTCACATAGTTTAATCAACGAAAAGTTCTTAAGAAGCTACCGCAAGCAAATGCAGTGACCCACCTCTAGATTAAGCGACGAGACCACAAATGCGTTATCGGAATTCAGTGGTTGGAGATAAGTCAAGATTATTTCCTATGGGCAATCTATGTAGGATGTTTAGCAGAGGACAATGAACTGAAATAATTATAATGATGTAAAACTTATAAAGACTATTTACAAAGACTTCTTTATAATTAATATGTACGGTCGTTTCTTGTCCATTCTATTTAAAGCTATAAAACTAAATACATAAAAATAGCCAAGTAAAAATATAATCGTAATTTTTTTTTATAACAAACGAGTATGTGGCTTATTTGGCGATAAGTGATTACTGCCACCCATAACATTAAAGAAATTGCAAGTGCGTTGCTGGTTTTAAGGAAGGAATATGTTCTTTCCTTGATGGTTAAAATTTCGTATCTGGTCCGAAATAATGTTTCCCACGAGTTAGTTCCATAATTTGGTTGTGCGTGGAAGAAAATGCCTATAGTAAATAAGAATAAACCAAAATATCTATTTTTATTTATTTAAGCTTCAATGTGTACATTATATAAGTAAGAGTATATATGGTGAACTTAACATCTAACGATGTTCTCTATCAGCCCACCATGGGGCAAACACAGAAATAAGTTAGCGGTGCATTTACACAGTAAAATCAATCAATGGACTATCGATAATAAGTATAATTACTATTTAAATATTATAATAATAATAATAATAATAAATCGTCAGTCATGAGGCTGTATATCCCGCGGAAAGCTGGTGGTCTCGTTAAAACCATGCACAACCGCGAGATTGACAGCCTCAGGATAATTACTATTTAAATATTATATAAATGATATATATATATATATATATATATATATATACATATATATATATATATATACATATACATATATATAAATTATCTGCCTGTTTGTTGTTAAATGCTAAGAACTTTCTGTCAATATTTTTATTGTTACATAGAGCACCTACGTATAATGTGGTAATGTTAGTTTGTTACCTGTTTGTGATTTATTAGTGTTATATGATGGCTATCTCCGGCCATCTATTGTCTTCTCCACTCATTAGTCATACGTTTGATTACGTCAGGGTTAAATACATGAGAACGTGGTCATAAAATTTCGAAATGTTGTACGTTTCCTGGTTTAATACAGTTCTGCAAAAAAATATCTGGAATAAAGTAAAAATAAATTGTTTTCATAAATTTATGCTAAAGTTACATTTATTGTATAAATATTCAAATATTTGCTAAGAACATTTAAAAAATAAAGTTAAAATGAATATTTACTGGATTTAACATTCAACAATACGGTAGAAATTTTATTGACAAATATAACTATTTCTTATACAAAGTGCAATAGTTTTAGAATTATGATCATTAATTTTTTTGGCAAATAGTCTTAAAATTATGATAATGTACCAAAAAAATTAATTATCACAGTAGGTAATAATAAACATCTTACTTTCTCGCTTAAAATTAGAGAAATCAGTGACTGTTTTGCACTGCACGTTAAAAAAAATGGGATCATTATAAGAATTTAATGCGATTTTTATTTAATTCACCAAATATGTTTCTATGTGCTAAGATGTTCATAAATTTTATAAATATAGACATTTAACAACCGAAAGTACATTCGAAAACCACCAAATAGAAGTAGGCTATCGACACAGACATGCCTTATATACATTGAAGTACACTCAGCCAAATAGCGCTACGAGTATGCAAATAATTTTGTATAAACATGTACAAAGGTAGCACATAATAAATATTATGTACTCATACTATGTAAAGTATCAGTGCCCACAGAAAAATACGCAAATAAACTTGTAAATAACACATTTTAAGTAGTAGGTATCAAAAAAAAATATAGAAAACATATAAATTGGCAGCCCATGATGCCAATTACGCTAATTTAATTCACATGTTTAAAATAATGAGCTATATTAACATAAGTGCAGTAAATATTATAGATAATGTAGGATTATAATATAATCTATGCAGATTGAATTCGTAATAAATTTATCTTGTTTAGTTACATTTTGATGCGTACAAATATAATAATTGGCCTCCAACAGTTATGCACCTTACTCTTCTACTATCTAATTCTATACTTAGTGTCTATATACAACATAACCTTCTGCATAATTACCTCATTCAAAACAAAATATCCATTAGCTCCCTACGCACATATTATTCCACGAGGTAACCTACGCAATAGTTAAAGGTGTATTTAATGATCAATTGGTTATTAAATTATAAAATCTTTTTCTTTATGTCATAAGTTATGTTTATAATAAATGAAATCAAATGAAAATAATAATAAAGAAGAAACTTCTCTATTTTAATTTTTGTTACTAAATTAATAATTGTGAAATGGTTTTCAGTAAAATATAATTACATTTTACATGAGAAAAGCCGATATTTTAATTAAGTACCTATATACACGTGTATCAAATGCACATGCAGTTTGAAAATATAAGATCCATTTTTCAAACATTTTCATTAAAATGTGTCATATTATTAATAATAAGTTATATTTAACAACGATCGAGCACATTAAATATGTACTATCCTTCGCTTCCATATTTTATAAGAAAAATATTATTAGGTATATACTTGTATATTTATCTCAACTTGCACTAATAAATCGTTTAACAGTTTCAGAAACTAACCTCTTTCGTGCATTCACTTTTGAAAAAGCGCACGGAGACGTCGTCACGTTTGTACAATGTTTACGAAACTGTTCTAATTCATTTTCCAAATCCTCAAGTCATTAATTCAGTCGCAAAAGCATGTACTGGTAACAATAACTTGTTTTTACTAATTATTCCCACGACTTTGTTCACGTGACCGGGATATATTTATTGACCGTTAACCATAGTAACAAACAAACAAATAAATTTAATTTCAAAATTATGACATTATCAAGTTGTTACTAGCAACTTGCCCAGCCGACCTTTTTTGTATATTTGTGTACATTTATATTATTTTTGATATCCATTTTTTTTACACATTTTCTCCGTTAGCTTTACATGACGTTCATTGTATTGTTCTCCAGTCATTCAAGAATTTCGGTAAGTAAATAGTAATTATTATAGTAAAAAACTTATAGTGGTCTGATTTCATATTCTTACTTTCACAAAAACTTCAATGTATTCAAAAATAAACACAACAGAAAACGATTATATACATACTATTCAAAAATACTTCATTAGATACCGATGGATATCATAATCTTGTTCACTTACACTGAAAAATATATTACATACATTGCCAAAATCTAAGGTGAATTAAATATTAGTTAACATTAAATATTTTGAATAAACTATTTGTAGGAGGAACAAAGGATGCTATGCTCAGCTCATACTAGACATTCATAAGTTCTGAAGTCGTGCGACCCATCGTTTCTGATTGCTCAACGTCCTGAGACAGTGTTTATGCTTCAATATATTCTAGTACTATGGTTTATATCGCTCATTGTTATCGTAAAGTAAATATGAAATAGTGATAAGAATGAAAATTGTTATTATGAAATTATAAGAATAAAGTTGATATAGAGTTTTGCATAAAGTATTTCATTATCATCATCATCATATCAGCCGTTAACAGTCCACTACTGAATATCGGCCTCCCCTATAAGGTGGGTGTTGCCAGTAGTTGCCACGCTTGGCAGGCAGGTTGGCAAGCGCAGTTAGGGTTTAGTGACATTTTAAGAGGGACGCTGCTGTTCATCCTTCGATCCTTAAAATCCCTTAGTCGCCTCTTACGATACCTCCGGGAAAAGAAGCCTACTTATACTTATTAGTGATATCAGTAGTAAAAAAGTACAAATAAATAATTAGAATTATTTATTTAAAATAAGAAGACACAAATAGGTATTCTAAATACATGTTTACACAGAAAATAAACATCGAAATTCGTAATCAACGTTTGGGGATATCATGCAATCGAATTTGATTTAGTTGCTCAATGTAGAATTTCTGCACGCAGATGCGATTGCCAGTTTCGGCAAACGAATTCTCTTCTGCCTACAGATGAATGTTTATTGCAAATAATGACGTGATTGGAGAAATAAAGGAAGATATTAACTAATTACATGTAGCACGATACGTGCTTGGCCAATATTAAAAATCGGGAATATATTTTTCTCTAGATACATATGAAAATAATTTCGTAAAAACAAAATGAATAATTTAATTTTTGATCTGCAAAAATAGAGGATTCGTTTCATGAGAAAATTAACGCGAAATCAACACGGGAGTAAACTTACTGATTGCAATAAAATTAGTACACAATTAGCAAAGCGATTTTGTAACAGCTAAAATAAATATAGGTGAATTGAGAATCGAACCTCCTTCTTTTGTTAAATCGCTAAGTCTTAGAATAACCAGCAAGTTGCAATTTATTTTTGAACAATTGGTAATTATTACTCTGTGACGCATATTGTATCCCTAATGCTATTGTTGAGGACCAAAATTTTAATAAGTAATTACACTGCCATATGCACAGCAAAAACTATGTAGTGTTTGCACCTACATATCGCTAAAAATGTTGCGTAAATTTATTGTAAATTAATAAATATGGTTTTAATTAGAATGATAATATTTTATGTAACAATTGTTACAAAAACAAGTGCTAAAATTCAGTGCATATGTTGATTAAAAGGGCAAATGACGTCTCACAATAAATTAAATGTAAAGTAAAAAATAACATGATAATTTACATATCTCGGAAACATTAAAAAATATTTCTTTACTTCTCGATATTTATGGCAAGTTATCGGTGGCATATATCTTTACTTTTGCTTTAATCAAAACTTATCGAGTTATTAATGTACGTAATTAAATATTTAGCTTTTTATATGTTATATAATTTTATGCAATAATCATAAGGACACTTTCATATTTAACGTTCATAATTTTATCGTTCAAAGATTAGTATCTAATTGCCTATGATATATAATTTTAAAAATTTACTGTAAAATCTTTGTACTGAAAAAAAACATGAAATTCAATTTTATTTAAAAAAATATTTCATTTCCCACGGAATTCATTGTAGATATGCTATTTGACGTTAGGAGATAACATAACAAGCTGTTGTACTAGATTATGTCTTTAAAAATGTATTTCCTACTATATCTATAAAACTATGTCAATTTACATATAACAACAATAATATCAATTGAGATAATACCTACTATTTGTAAAACTTGTACGAGTAAACATATAAAATAAAAAAAAATACGCATTACTGCTAGATATTTCAGACTCATGGTATATTTATACTTCTTCTTACCTCATAAAGTAACATTTTCTGTTTAAAATTACAACAGTATAGCAGTAAATGTGGAGTAGCCCTAAATGTTCTCAATCGGATTTCGCTGACCGTTGACCGCCAAAGGTCAGCTTTTGAGTCAAAACATCAGTATTGTCGCAACGACAGCTCATTTATCACAGTCTTTTCTTCGTCAACTTGCCGACTAGACGTTATTCATAATAGTATAGTATTTTGTCTGATTCTCTTCATATATGTCTTACATTTATTCTCGACAATTGGTTTTAATGTCATTACGTGATATTCACGATCATATATAACAGATACAATAAAATTCTTCTAAAATTAAAAAAAAACTTTTATTGACATAAGAGGAAGAAAAGGATACTACATAATATACATATGTGTTTGTTAGAAATACTTATTATTTCTAATTGCTTAAGATACTGTGAATATTTTACTCACTATTAGTACCTATAATAGCAATTAAAATGTCGACCCCGAAGTAAATTAATTGATTTATTTAATATTGTCGTGACATCATAATTAAAAAAAAACATGTAGCTTTTACCCGTGACTTCGTCCGCGTAACCTGGATATGTTTACATATAAGATAGGGATAAAAAGTAGCCTACACCAAATTTCATAGTAATTGGTTTAGTTGTTAAGAAGCTATAAGATGAAAAAGAAAACAAACTCAGTTTCGCATTTATAATATTAGTAAAGATGTATTGCCAAGGAAACCACAACTGTACAAGTTTTTTTTTATTTTGTATATTTGTATATGTACTTGTAAGGAACGGCAATAAATTTATTATTATTATTGTGAACTAAAAAAAATGTTCAAGATTATAATTTCGAACGCATTTGTCGAATGTTACCGTAATGGTGAATGTAACGTTGCAGGGCACGAGCTTACCGCTGTCACTTAGTTTAATTTGATTTATAAGTGTATTCATCATATCAGCCTTTAACTGTCCACTGTTGAACATAAGTCTCCCCCTTGGAAGAGGTTTGCCAATAGTTGCCACGCTTGACAAGCAAACTGGCAATTGTCGTTAGGTTTTGCACATATTTTGAGAAGGACATTACTGCCCATTCCTCGCCCTCCTTCAGTAGTCTCTTACGACACCCACAGGAAAAGAAGGGGTGACTTATTCTATACTGGGACCACACTGCAATTGTACGTGTATTGAAATATTATATTTAGATAAATTTAAAGATCATTCGTGGACGTTTTAGTAGGGACTGGTCTGTTCTAGAATCCTGTGACTGATTGCAGCTTGGTAGCTTTTTTGTTTTCTTTCTTTTTATAAATACGAAGTTTGTAATATTTATTTTATATATATATATATATATATATATATATATATATATATATATATATATATATATATATATATATACTTATATCTAAAAAAGATAACCGCAACAGCTGTGTTTCACCCATTACGCCCCATGTTCTCCTTCAGGCTGAAATTGTTTTTCAAACGTGCAAACACAACTGCTTCACGTTGAATCACGGAAGATAAATGTATATATATATTGTTGTTAAAAATACTATTTAAAAAAGAGCAACAGCTGTTTATTTCTTCTTGGCTGAAGTTTACCGTTTAGAAGTAAAAAAAAATTATTTAAAAATTATTATTATTATTTCATTTTAATATACACTTCTAATTTCACAATGTATTTCGAATTATTGATATATTGATAGTTAGCTAAACTTTAATTTTATCCATCTAATTACAATATTTGTAAATAAGTGAGTATCCTATATTTGAAATGTGTGCAAGTTACGAGTATTTCACAAGTTAACTACTCTCACGCTAAGCAAGGCACGGTAACGTTAACCAAAGTCGAGACCGCATGAACTCTTGTGAAATTGTGACACTTGAATAATCAATACAACAAATTGCTTATCGATTATATGTACGTACGTTTGTACGAATGGAATAGCAATCGTAATGTCGTCGATTGAGCGTACAAATGGATGTCCAATCCGGTAAAATCAATCTAGTGAATACTGTTTTGTAAATTATATCTATATAAAATATATTGTATATAGTACATATTTAGAAAGAAAGAAAGAAAGAAATTAAATTAAATGATGATGAAAGAAATATTTACGTGTATAGATGCAACATCTAACTATTACAATCTATCAAAGATGTGCCAGAAGTATATAATTTTTTTATATTCACATTTACAAGCATAATAATTAATCTAATTTATTTTGGATGTTAGACTATATTCGTACTAAGTTCTATCCAAATTGGTTGAGTTATTTATCTATAAAATATTAAGAAATAATAAAACTAACATTTGTATCTGTAATATTAATAAGAAAATTAAATCAAAATAAGGTATTATATTAGGCAGAAATCTGCTTCCGCAAAATCTAAAATCTCCCGATATAAACACAAATATAATATTAATATATTTT